TTTTTTTTTTTCTTTTTTGTTAGCTTAAAACATAAAAGAAAATAGATTTACAAATTTTAGGCATTAATTTTAGTACAGCAAAGAAAAAAAAAAAAGAAAAAGGAAAAAAAATCTTTAGATTTAAAAAATTTCAAAGTAATCAATTTTGATTACAAACGGGTCTTTTCCCCCCTCTTTTCCCCCTTCAATCTTTAACGAACAGTTTTACGGTTTTCTGTTAGGAAAAAACATATTTCCAAAAAACAAAAAAAAATTTCCAAAGAAATTCCTCATTAAACCAACTGCGGTATCAGTATAGTTATTTTTCCAGCAAATAATTTTGCAAATTTTACACCTTTTTTTTTTTTGAAGCTAACAAATAGCAAAAAAAAAGAAAAAGCTGTTGATAAAGTAAATCTACATTAAGCCCCCGATGTTCAATAGAGTAATCAACGAGTTCTTAATTAAAGGCTTCAAAATTTTTTGCCTTTTAACAAGTGAAGTGGAAAAAAAAAAGCTAATTTTTCCTTTTTTCAATACAGCAAAAAAAAAAAGGCAAAGCACAAACCATTTTGAACAGATTCTTGCAAAAATATTTTTCCATCTTTAATGATACACTGTTGCGTATCGTCGTCTGCATAGGAGAAATACTTTTTTGCTACATTTAAAATTGCCGGATCAATTTCAACAATTTTAATATTTACCTGAAAAAAAGTAAAAGAAGAAGAAAAAAAAAACAACAACAACAACAGTAAAGTTATTGCAATATTTTTTCAACTTTTTCACTTTTTTTTTTGCTGTCCCTATTTTAAACCTTCATTTTTTTTCTCTTAATCATTTGTAAAACCAATAATATTGTCGTCGAAAAAAAAAAAAAAAAAGAAAAAAAAGGTTGAGTTTGCAATGATTATAACAGTCGTAATACAAAAACAACAACTATAGATTAAACTTAAGATTTTTTTTTTTTTTGCTAGTCTAATATTAATGTAGCAAAAAAAAAAAAATTTGTAAATTTTATATACATCTTTCAACTTTTCATGTATAAAACCGTTCACAGCACCAGCTCCAAGACCAATTGATAGGAATGTTCGATCAGCGGTATTTGTTTGTAAAATGTTTGTTGCAAATATTAATGATAATGATTCTTTTAAATATCTTGACGGTACATACATATAATCCATTTTCCAATCTTTAGTTGGTGCATTTGAACTACCTCCTAAAAAAAAAATTTGAAAAACTAAAGCAGATTGTATTTTTTTTCCAATTCTTTACACCTTGTAAACACATAAGATATTTTTTTTTTGCAAAAAAAAATTTGTTTTACTTAAATACAAAAAAAAGTGTTTCAATTTTAGCTAACTTTTGCCCCATTTCAATTTGACAATAGAGAGAACAAGATTTGGGATATCCACTAAGCCAAGTTCTCGAATAATAACTGCCCTGAAAATAGTAAAAATTACTTGATTGCCAATCTGCCAGCAACAGATATCTTTAACTTTACTAACATTTCATTAAAAAAATATATATTCCTAAATTATCGTTTTTTTTTTTTGGAAATTTTAGATTGCATTTTTTCTTTAGAATATCAAATCTGAGCAACAACAAAGCACTAAAGAAAGCTTTAGAAAGAAATAAATTTTTTACAAAAAAACATTCTGTAGTTTAGATTTCAATGTTTATGGATCAGTGTTAATTTGGCTTAACATATTTGCTTAAAAATAACTATCATTTGCTAAATATTTCTTTCTATATAATTCAACAAAAAATGTCAAAAAAACACTTATTTTCTGTATTCAAACAAAAAAATTTTTTTTTTACAAATTTATTAGATTATTGTAAGATATCTGATAATCTGATACAGGCACTACAAACCAAGACCAAATTACATCTTTTCCTTAGAACATAAATAACATTCTGTAATTATTTGCTTACCATTTTAGAATTCTTTACTTATAGAAAATTTTTTTTGCACCATAAACAATTATATCTCAAAATAACTGTAAAAAATTAAACAAACATAAATAAACTTCAAACAGCATTAAAAAAATCTGATTCCTTCTGGTTTGTTTCCATTTTATGTTTACGATTTTTTAAGCGTTTTGCAAAACTCAGTAACGAGCACAATCTCAATAATAATAATAGGAATTTGACTACGATATGTAGCAGAAATACTCGAAAATGTTACATTATATACCATTCAACTTATCAAAAAAAAAAAAGAACTGGCATTTTTATATCAACCATTTTTGAAAGAAGTATTCAGCTGAAACTTAAACCTGAACAAAAAACCGAAACGATGAACCATATCTGGCAGAAGTGATATGTGAAGAAGTAAATAATCTCATCGATAGCATCAAACAAATTTTGTTTTTGCATTCAAAAATTTAGTTTTTTTTTTTTACATCTAAAAAATTTTTAAAAAAAAAATAAAAAACAAAACTGTGGATTGACTAATTGTGTCAATTTTTTTTATTATTTGCTAATTTTACTGTTTTTTTCTCCACTTTTTCACACGACATTAATTCGTGCTTGGAAAGCAGTTAAAATAGGACAAAGTTGCTATCTATGCTGCATATACTAAGGTTGTTGTTTTTGTATTATTTCTAAGAAATACTCTAAAAAAATTTACAAATTTTAACTTCTCCGTGTTTTAGTTGTTAACAGTAAGTAATCATTAACTGATAACTTAAGAATATTTCTTATGTTATAAGCAGTTGTTATAAGTATTCTGATGAAACATTGTCTTACTTTTACTGTTTAATAAGCCATAAATTAGTCTTAAATAACGTTAACCTGTAAACGTTAACCTGTATAAATAACAGTTGAAAACTTAGAAAAATATAAGAAAAAAAAAAAAAGAAGAAAAGAAGAAACTAACTTTCCATTTTTATCTACAGTTACAATGTCACGAATCACTACTTTAAATTCTGCTGTTTCTTCTGTGCCTATCTGAAACCTTTGACCAATTTTGAACTGCTCTGATGCTGAAGTTTTTGCTGGTTTTTCTTCAGCTTCCGCATTTATTTCCTGCACTTTAACCGCTGCTTCAAAACTTTTCGAATAAAGCTGTAAATGTACAGTGAAAACAGTCTTCCAAAATACAGTTTCTTTTGATTAACTAAAAAGAAAAAAAAAAGAATAAAATATATGTGTTTGTTAAGACAAAGAATTGTAAATAAAAAGCTGTAAATAAGTTGATTTTATTTCTTTTGCTTTTTCTAATCTTACAGTTTAAAATATTTTGAAGCTAAAGAAAAAAAAAATTTGGATTAACAAAAACCAAAAAAAAAGCTGCTGCTGCAAAACTATATTAGCCAAAAAATGCTGAATAAAGAAATGCCAAAACGAAAAAAAAAGGCAAAAATTTGTTTTATAATGAAAAAAAAATCGGAAATTTTTTGAACCAGAAAAGTTGAGTTTTGTATATTAGTGAAAAGAGCAAAAGCTGTTTTAGCTTAAATAATTAACACT